TACACATTGTTTTTGGTTCGACGTCGTATTATGTACAAAAGTGTGTTCTTCAGGCCTATCGGTTCATCGATCCATGGAAGGAAGGCTTCATATCCAAATACTCAATATTGTTGGAATATAATAATATATTGCCTATGTCTATGATTTTTTTTTTCTCTCTACGTATTGGCCTAAAGAATTAGATAAAATTACCTGAATTTTTTAAAGAGGGGGAAAATCTTGAATTTTGAAGAAATTAAAGGTCATTAAAATACTCTTCAGAAGCTAATTTCTGGCCATCTATCAACATTTTCCTGGAGGAGGACCCCCCTTTCTTTTTGGGTGTTTTTGGAAACATTTTGAACCCCCCTCTTTCAAATCCTGGATCCGCCCCTGTGTCCCTCCCACCAGAGTTACTCCAGAACATTGGAGGTCCTTGATCCCACTCTTGGCAAATTTCTGGAGCTACCAATGAATGGGGATGAATGGCCATCCTATCCTCCACAAGGAGAAACGATCAGTATTCAACGAGAAGGTACCTAGCAACAAGTGAATAATCCAATCCATGTATTATATCTGATATTGGCTACAAGTAATTCAGTTCCGCAAGAAGGGAAGGAAAATAAGCTCCCTGAGAAAAGTCATCGAGTTAACGATAGCTTCCTGTCGATAGATCGAAGTATTGTCGCTAGACTTTCCCTTGAGAAAAGCATGTTTAAGTGGCCTAACAGAATGCGCCATGCATTCACCTATTTATCATTCGGCGGAGGGGGAAGGAGTAGAAAACACAGACTTGCATTATGTTTGCATGATACATAAAGAAAACAATTTGGCTGTTAATTTGAGTATATCATTGCTTTACTTGTAATTATGTTTCTGACTGCTTTTAACTTTTTCACTTTTGGTCAATCATTTGTATTGTCTAGTTAATTTGAATTTTTTGTTGTTTCTTTTGAGTACATCCTCATTTGACGTGTGCCACTATTATAAAAATAAGATAAACTTTATTTTCCATCAAATATATGGAAATCATGGTATAAAAATACAAAAACATCAATTAAATTACCTCAAAATATAAATTGCACTACAAATATAAATCTCAAATAAATAAAAAAAATTTAAAAAATAAATAAATATAGTAAAGTTACTGTACATCAAAATTCAAATTGCATTACAAATATAAATATATATAAAATGTATCTTCAAATAAATTATATTATCATTATTACTATTACTGAAACAATGCAGTAATTGAATATAATCAGATTTGCCTGAGAACTGGGTGGGGGAAATTTTGGTGTGTTTGGAGATGATTATGATTTAGTATGCCAGCGAATGTTTATCTTTGAATCATTTTTTTCTGTTTGTTCATTTCCAATCAATTATGTGTCAGAAATAAGCTGGAGATGGAACACAGGCAATAAGTAATTTTTTTTTTTTCTAAATGATAGTTTACATGGCTAGACAAAAAATGTCCATCACTGCACTATTACCACAGCAGATGGCTGTGTACAGGAAATCAAAGGTTACATCTTAATGAATCACCAAATCAATGTTTGATGTCCCAATTCCAACTGCACGAAACTTCATTCATAAAATGTAATACAGTTGAAAAAGCAGGGGGAAGAGGAACAGGACTGAAACTCTTTTTCCGATTGGATGTTTTATAATTGCGTACTTGCGCGTGATGCATGTTATTTAACAATGGTCTTGATACAACTTAAACTACTTATTCAATCCAGCACCAACAGTGGTACAATTTGTAGTAATTTGTACACAGTGTAATTTTGTACCTCTTTTTTTTTGTATTATTTTATTTTATACATGACCAAAGTTGCCCTTTGACAGTGACCTGTATAACTGGTGTGTAACCACAGACTTCAATTTATTATCCTTCATTATTTGTGGGATATTCCAGGAGTTTCCTTAACATTAAGACACCAATCAATAAATATTATCAGGAAATTGGTTTAAGTGGTTGTCCGAAGCTCTCTATCTTAGTACTGTACCAGTACACGAATGGTTTCATGCACTTTCATCCAATATTTCCTGTACAGAATTGACTATCACTGACCTTTTTAAATTGAAATTAAGGGTCATGTATACACAGTCCATGGCAAACTTTAGAGGTGTAGGCTGATTTCGGCCTTAGGGTTGCAAAAAATTAGAATGCAGAAATAAATTTCTATTCCAAAGAACACTTAATGATCATTTTTAGTATTTTAACCCACTTCTAATGGAACTAATTTGCATCCCCCCACCCAGTTCAACTTAGCACTAATCAAGTCCCCACTATGCAACATTTTCAAGCTAAATGAGCCACAATCATATTTCCTTGGTGACAAGCCAGTTTTGTTTGCTTTGATAGGCGCTTTAAAAATGTGTATTATTATAATTATTATTATTATTAAGTCCTAAGCCTCTTACATGTGTGGCAGATATTTCATATTCTGTGGTAGACATTTCGAACCTGGACATTTCGAAACCTGATTTGTCACTCTCAAAACTGTCAAAATGTGAATTAAATTGATTTGTTTTGTTAACATGAAAACATTAAATTAATCTGAAATGTCTGGGATTTGAAATTTCTGGGTTTGCGAAACCTGGTCCAAACTTACACGTGGTTACTTCCCTGAGTATGGCTCAAATGCTGGGTTCATCATCGATCAAATACTGTAAATAGAAACAAGATACAATACACACGCTGCAAAATAGTGATCAATATCGGATGTATGTCTGTTTATACCGATTACATGTGGAACCTGATCATACCTACCATGCAGTGTGACAGCAACAAGAAAGATCACTCAGAATTTGACACGAACGCGTGTTCAAACAAAGATTACCACGTTCTGTGCACAAAACATAAAAGAAATGCTGTAATTTTTTATAGGATTTTTGTGCGCTACCGAACTAGTACACCTATTAATGTCAAACTGCAATACACCTAAGTGTTGATGCTTGTTGAATCAGTCAGTCAGCCAAGTCGCCAAGCATTAACTGGAAATTCATGCAACATTGTACTATAGTAATATGAACATGGATACTAATGATCACAACAAGACCTCTCCACATAACTTTTCCTAGGTTCAAGTCTAGGGTAATTTATTGCTAAATTTCCAACCAGATTAAGATTGTCTGGCCTATCTCAAGTCTGAATGTAGCTCTGCATTCATTGCCCATAAGGGAAAATATTAGTGAAGTCTGCAGTTCTCTAGACACATCCAGGGTCCATAGAAATAGTTCGATAAAGATCTATCCTTGTTGCAATGATAGAGACAGAGTTTTAAAAAATTGAACTATAGGGCATGAAAAAAATACAAACCCTTAAATACAGTTATTTTTAAAAGAACAAATTTTACTGAGGCTGAACAAAATCAGAACAAACTGAGGCTGAGGTACGGTAAAATGTCAAATGCAGTTTTTTTTTTTTTAAATAGAAACCAACAATAAAGCCAGTCACATACAGTAAAACTATTAATATTTAAAAGGATTATACTGCAAAATTCTGTAGGCCTACATCTGATTTTCGTTCCTTGAGTCTTTAAAATAGGTCTAGAATATTCTGTTAAACTTTCAGTTTGTTTAGTTTATTAGGGTCTATTAATTCAAGGAATTCCTTAATTGTTCATACTTAATATTGAATTTTAAGTAAATTTATTTGGGTTTTAATTAACCTTGTTTTAACGAAAGTAATATATAATAGTAGTTTCGGTTTGAATTTTATAGATCATAATATTTAGGTCAACACAGATTTACAGGTAGTTTCAACAGAACTAAAAACTGAAATAACAACACTGCAGCACCATAAAACATTATAATTTATTATATTTACCAAGGTCATGGCAATGCTCCTGCAGTATGTTCTATTATTAGTTTGACATTTAATTTTCCCCCAGCAATTACACAGGATTCACTAAAGTCAAAGTTAAATATTGTACTATTAATATTTACATTTTGATAATTATCTTTTCCAATTTCAATTCATCTTGATTGTAATTGCTAACACTCCCCTTCAAGCATTCATTTAATAGACAGTTAATAGGCCGCTTGTCAGTCAAGAGGGCATCCGTGGTGGTACAGTGTGGTAGAGTAAACTTCACTATCACACATTGTGTAATGACAGCAGTGGACACTAAAGGCCAACTCAGACAGTGTCGTACGACACAGCCCGACGCGATTTGTTGTCGCCTCGGGCCTGTGTGAGTTAAACGCAGACGCGATTGTGTGCGTCGGTGGCAGTCGCGTCGTAGAATATTAAACATGTTTAATATTTCTCACGAGGGCTTAAGACCGTCCCCGACGATACATCGGGTCGGGCTGAGTCGGCTGACGCTGTCTGAGTTGGCCTTAACTGGTACATTTTGGCACCACACAGACTTGCCACAAGTCTCTAATTAATTTATTAGGACTTTTAAGTGTTAGATTCAAAGAGCACCACCAGCATCTGTTTTTGTTGATGTTGAATTTGGATGGGAATTAGTTCGAATCCGAGGAAAAGTATACTATGAAATGCCATGCAAATAAATATTAAATATGGAATGCTATTGGTGCCAAAAAGGATTTATTTTTAATAGTTTTCACTGATTAAGGCAAATTTAGGGACTGGAACCCAGTTTATGCACAACACTGAAACCAGTTTACAAAACCAGATCATGTTCCACAGTCATGAGAAAATCATTACACACATTTCCAAGAATTACGCAAATGCTATTTTGCATAAAATTGCTACGATATTTAATTTATATTCTCTAGTGTAAACCAATATAATCAACTTAATTAAGAGAATATTAAGGGAAAAAATCTTCAAGTTTGAAGAGACCCAAGACCATGGGATCAGAAGGTATGCAGCTCAGGTATGCAGCTCTGCCAGACTACCACATAAACTCATCAAAATCAAAACAACCTGTTAAAAATTTTCCAAAGTTTCCATTCTTTTTTACCAAGGTCACTGCAGTGACTTGTATGTACACACTACAAGCTACTTCCTTTTCAGAGCTGCTTGAGAAAGAAAACAGGAAACCAAAGAGCACTAGGCCTACGCTTTGGCTTTAATTCTAATGGCAATAAACCACCGAGAAGACTTTTAGACGCCAGTGGAAAAGCTATCCTACTGTATGCAGTTACAGAATTATTACTGGTACTGAGGTTGTGTTATACAGGCATACTTGATCACATTGTTGTTTGCCAGATAATGTTTAATCAGACCTGTTAATGTTATAATCATTGCAGTCTTTAATTCAATGATTCAATACAATGTATATTTCAACCAATTGTAAGCAAACACTGTTTACAACTACTGTATTAGTGTCTATTGTATATACTACTACTACTATTACTACGGTAAACTGTCTTTTTGTTAAATTTTGTTTTTTTATGTTTGAGTATTTTGAATGAATAAAGAATGAATAATTAAACATGAATAACATATGAACTGAAAACAGAGCTAATCAAAGTAGATGCATGATTATGGCAAATTGGAAAAGGATGACACAGAAGCTCTTGTGAGGTCGTCCCTTGTTGCCTCTCTTCAAAAAAACAGTTAATATTACAGCAACATTAAATGAAATGAAAAGAAAATAAACAGACATTGGAATAAAGAATTGATCAAACAAACCAAAGTTGGATAATGCTATTTCATCCGAATCAAACATTGTTATTTGAGTCTGACAAATACAGATCTAGTGCTATGTTGTCTGATCGTGTATGCAATAATACTGTAAATATTTGATTGCATCTTTTTTCTATATAAATGAATATGTTTTTTATACACATGGAATGTATTTATTTACATATTTTTGGTTTAAAAAACCAAAACACCTAGAAAATTCTGCAGAATTACAAATATTTTTTTTCCCTTTGTTTTTTGCAGATCAACGAGACGAGTTGATGTGCAACATCTGTATAGTGATTATGAGATGAGTCATCATATCATAAAGTTAAAAATTTGTGGAGTTACAAAATAAATTTCTGCAATCAATTTAGAAAATACAGTTAACCTGATCCTTCTACGTGTATGTTCACAAATATAATCTTATTCATAAATAAATGGATGGAACTTAGCTTATTGTTGGAGGATTCAAATTCAAACAAAGCAACTTGAAAATGAACTGCTAAAAAATGTGACGTTATATTATTTCTGCAAATGGTAACATGCCAACTGTACTATTATTTAACAGACTTACTGAGAGACAGGCATCAATCTTCCACAAATAAAGACATACTGTAGTACTGTTGTATACGACCTAGCATCATTATATTATTATAAGACAACCTCAAGCGTATAGTGATTGCCATTGCCTCTACCATTGGGGTTTGGGGTAGTCCCCAGTCCCTCTGTTGGACAAGCATGGATTCCCCTATCATAGGTTGCCACATGGGATCAGCGGATTAAAAATAATCATTTGTTGATACAACCAAAGAATACAGAATTGCAAGAGGTTCCACTGCCCTGATTTTGCATTCACTTTAATGAAACAAAAAAAAAAAGTACTAAAAGATAGGGTGTGCCCTATTAGAAATCAAATATAGTTCAAAACTCGACTTTTGAAAGACACCCTTTATTTTGTGGTAGTACGTTTTGAAATATAATTACAATCCAGTGAAACCCCAAGAATCGGCTATCTTGCAATTCTATATTCTTTGATACAACCAGAATTATTTTGACAGAATCATTTAATTTCGTTCATCTTATAAAAGTACAAGTTGTACTATCCCATTGGAAGTCCAAGGCAGCCCACTAGTTTGAACCCCCTGTTGCTTATCACGTAGCTAATCAATCAATACTAAATGATGCAATCGTATTATGCAATCTACCATTGCAAAAGACATATCACGCATGGCCTGCCTGATACCACGAATCTCAATAAGTCACTAAATACAAGTTGCATATCATATCAAATCCCGGTTTATGACAGCTTAACTGTGATTGGCTAAAGTACTGAGAATAATGAACTTTACTAAATTGTAAGGAATTTCTTTTTTATTATGCAGAGTTGTAAATAAAGGGGTGATAAAACGTAATAATACCTGGAGTTATAAAGAAACTTACCACACTCACAGTGTTTGAAGAATAGATTAAAAGGGTTTTGACAGCAATTCAACCATGAATTTCATTTTTGAAAAGGGAGAATTGAAAGAAAATATTTACTGGTTGTAAAAGTTGTTACTTATGCTAGGGGCAAATAGTTGTAGCTTATCAAAAGAGTATAGAAAGTACAGCCATATCCACATGAACAGTAAAGTATAGCTACTTATCCAAAATCAAGGATTATCACTCACAATAATTCATAGGCGGATCCAGTGGGATAAATAGGGTGGCTAGCCATCCCCATAAAACACCATTAGATCTTGATCAAGGCAAGCCCTCTTACCAGAAACAGTAATGTTTTTAAGTCATTTTACTAAATAATCTACAATCTCATTCTTACTCACTCGGCCCAAACATAGAGATAGTAGCTCCCCTACTTTCAATAAGTGAGTTAAAATACTAAAAGTGACAATTAAGTTTTCATTTGAGTAGCAATTTAGTTCCGCTTTCTCATTTCGCACCCTCCCACCCCATTTCCGCATTATCAATTTTTCGCCCCTACCCCCACCACCAAGATGAAACCAGCGTACACCCCTGTTTTAAGCACCATTACTCAAACTGTGTTGCAGCCTACAGTATCATTATCATCGCTATATGCTTGAGGGCGCTATATTCTGAAGAAATAAAGGCATGAAAACATAAAAAATATGACTTAATTCAATATTAATTAATATTAGATCGGGCCAGTTAGAAAAAGTCAAGGCGTTCACTTTCAAAAGATCAATGCTGATTTGCAGAAGCATGCAGTGTGCCTTTTTTTTAGTAAGACCGAAAAAAGTACAGTAATACTCTAAAGCCTTGTCTACACTATCAAATTTTATGTGACAAAAAAATGTGATGTGCCCATATATATGGGTACGATTACGTCATATCACATATTATCAGATTGTATCAAAAAAAGTTGAAGGTGTTCAACTCTATATGTTCCATCACATTTTATGTGACGAATTTTTGATGAAATTTGATAGTGTAGACAAAGCTTGAGAATAAAAACCCAAGTTTGCAACGTTTTTCATTTTAAATTTATTTTTTATCTTTATCCACAAACAATACAATACAATCACACGTTCATGTATTTAAAATGTATTCAATATTAGACTAAGTGTTAGGTTAGACCTACTACAACATCAACTGTCTAGTCTAGCTACATTAGGCCTACAGAACCTAGATACAGCAGGTAGAGCCTACTACTACTACTACTACTTACTATATACTATAGGCCTACCTGGCCTAGGCCTAGTCTGACTCTCTTTTTATTTAAATTATTAATCACAACATTGAACATTTTAAGCATTATTATACTGTATTTAATTCATGCTTAAAATGACGGGTATAAATTACATAAAAATATATACAGTATTTAATATTTCTTACCAGTTTTTAAAGTACGAAATCCCGCTAAAATAAAAATGTTCAAAAACCAGGACATCCCATTCATTATTATTCTTCTTCATGCTTCGCTAATCAGCATCCTTATCATCATCATCATTATCATCTCTCTCCTCTAGCTTGATGATGATCGATTGTCTACCGATCAAATTCTTGACAACTGACGGTACTGCTGCCCTCTATATTAATTACTAATGCGAGAGGGCAGCACACATACTTTTTGTATATACATTGGTGTAGCATGTTGTGGACGTAGTGGTAGAGTCCTGCGCCTCATTGTCTAAATCCACTTCAAATTTGAGTTATACCCACACGAAGTGTAATTATGTAATAGACTACTGTACCTAGCCAGGCTACACAATATTTCACATTAGTTTATTGTCTAAAAAGAAATAATTATTCTAAAAATAACAGCGTTGTCTTTCTTTCTCCTGAAAATAGTTCTGTATTATATTCTTCTCTCTCTTCCTTTTTCATCTTCAATTTTATGTAGGCCTAACTTATAGTTAAAAGTCCTTGATTGAAGCAAACATTTAAGAAACTGTACATATAATTAAAACACATCGAGATTCCATCTGAATGCCACCACCTGGTTTTCTGGAATGATCTAATATCAAGTGTATTAACAAATTAAATGAGTTTAAACGTGCTATGAGAGATTCACCTTGGAAACGTTCATCAACCATGATTTTCTTGTTCTCTTTTTTTATTTTTTACTTAAAATTGCTTGTTTATAGGTCCGTAGTGGAATTAAGCTGTTTTTCAGCTTTATGGGTTATCCTGGTATTTTGTCATGGTTCTTTGTGAATTTTGAGTACGAATAAAACAAACAAACAAATTAATTCTCTGCCTGATGATAACACGAACGATTCATGGTAGTAGTGGTGTCAGCGGTGGCGCCAGAAATTATTTGCTTGACAAGGGATCCACGTCCCGGATGTTCGACAGAGGGGCCCAAACCAAAGGGCCGGCTAGAGAATCGGTCGACGGCCCTGAACCAGAATAAAACATTCCCCGGTCAGGGTTTTTAATCATAGACGATGAAATATTAGATAAATAATTAAATAGCAATAATAATAGTAATCATTCTAAATTGTTATAATTTTAAACCAATGTATTTTAATAGTTTTATACCGTGAATTGTATGTTTTTATGTATATGCAAGTAATTGAATTCCAGTAAGTAATGGATCAGAATAAAGTTGAATCTTGATTCTTTAATTTAGCGGAATTGTAGGAATAATCGAAGGAAGCGACCATTCGATTTTATGGAAAATGTCAATGTCAATGTCAAGGTCACGAAAATTAAATTTTTAACCCCGAGCATAAAAGGAAATAATGGAATGGCCTGCATGTGTAATTGTTCGGTATTCAGGCAGGAGTGACATACTGCTCTAGTTACCTCCACCAAACGAGGTTATGTATTCACCACTTGCTGTCTGTCTTGTCTTCTGCCTGCCGCAACGCCAAAACTTATGAATGGATCATCATCATACCATTCGATTTTCGGAAAAAGATCAATGGACAATTTCAAGGTCACGGAAATTCGATTTTTAGTCCAAAGCATAAAAGAAAATAATGGAATGGCGTATTCAGGCACAGGGCGAAAAATCATGAAGTCGCCCGTCATACACGTCATGCTTATTGTTCGGCATAGGACGGAGGTATCTATGGACTGACTGCTCAGCTATTTATTATTTCCCCAAAATGTATTGAAGATTGATAAATAAATTGATTCCTATTTCCAATAGGATTCACCCGGCATTATCGCTTGTTCAAACTTTAGCCCAAGTGTTAAGAACTTGAGAATTGAATTGAGAAAACAACACGTAACACCTATCATTCGAACCTTACATGAATTTACATGATTTGCAGGCGCGGATCCAGTGGAGCAGGGAGGGGTCACGTTTTAAAAAAAATCTGGATCTGAAATTTTATAAGTCAACATTTTCTTCGTAAAGTTTATCTGTGATCAAACTCATTACCAGACGATCACGCGTTTGGGTTTGCAGAACTTGGACTCTGAGCTGATAAGAACACGGATAATGACAGAATACTTGATGTAAAAACAGCGTTCAGAAAAAACGTTGGATGGCAGTGCGTGAGGAAATTGAGGGATGAAGTCGAAGTCTATATACCGATCATACGAATAAACACAATAAGTACCGTAATGAAAATACTTTTCTCTTTCCTATTATTCATTAGACGATTAATTAAGCATCACTGCGTTATGTTCAATCTTATAGGAAGATACCGGTACTCCTTATTACCTCTAAGCATTTTTATTACGAATAAAGCTACATTTACACTAGACACGATTACGACACGACAACGACATATCATCGCGTTTGTATTCTTCAAGACTGCGCGCGCATCTGTATTATGTAAGTGTAGATTAAATACACACAGTAATGAAAATAACCTTTATTATACAAATAAATTATTATAACATTACACTATTGTATTAAAATACCTTTTATACTTTACCTATTATTGTTTTATATATTGGTCGATAAACAATAAATACAGTAAAGGAATACACACGATGTTAAAAGCTAAATTAGTCTGAAAATGTTATAATAATTGTTTTATGTATTATCAACCCGCTGCCAGAGCAGGATAACTTTATAGTAGGCCTATCTCTTTATTTTACTAACCGTCATGATACAATAAAAGAGTACGGTAGTCCATTAAAAATAAATAAAATAGAAAGAAATAAACAATTAAAAAAAAATTAAACAAAATAGATAAAGAAAATCGACCTGATAACCCATTAAGTCGGTAGATGGCACCTGTTTCTCAAATAGGAAACATAGGCTTGTGTGGCGTTTTGGACGATCATTTTTTATTTTCTTTCTTTTTACTTTACAAAAGGAGGGGGGGGGCACCACACTCATACCTAAATCCGCCCCTGAGAGATAAAACTATGACGAATTGACAAAAAAAAAAAATCTCAAGAGATATAAATAATATACTGTACAATTGTTTCCATTGAGCATGCTCAGTGGTGATGGATATTGCTAGCCTAGACAGTACAGGTACTATCTAATCTCGCTCTGACCCCTGACCCGAGACATCATCGGTCCGGCTAGTGTAATATAGTTGTTGTGTAGGTTGGCCAAGTCAATGCGCTTGTAATTTTTGTTTCTAGATCCTACTAGCCAGTGTAATTTGTTTATTAAAAATACAGAAATAACACAGACCGGGAACTATTCTTCTTTATAGATATAAAAGCGAGAATATGTTGTTGTAGCTGCCTCTGTTTTTTTTTCCCCAAAGTAACAGAAGGAATCAGTCAGCTAAGCAGATTGAATACTGTTCGAAGACTATAGTATCATCCAGCAGCAGCAACAAAACAATATTTTTGTGTCGACGCAAGGCGAGGCGGTTACAGATAATAAGACAAAAGCTTAGCAAAGAATGGCTTTGAAAAGGTTACATAAGGTAATTTATGGTCTCTGATTACTACCTTATGAGTTTAATATATTCGTAAAGGCTTGAGTAATTGTATACTAGGCATTTTCTTTAATTTCTTACCATTAAACTTAGGCCTATCGGTTGTGTAGGCCAGCTAGGCTAGGCCGGGCCTAGGTTAGAAAAATATAGAGGACAGTTTTGATAATAATTGAAGAAGATCGGAGAAAAGAAAGACGGTTGCCTAGCCGAATGATCCCATCAACATGTGGGCAATTGCGAATGCCATCCGTTTCGGCCGCGATGTATAATAACAGATTTTTATCATCCAGCAAATCAGGAAATAGATTAATAAGTGTGTTTTTTTTTGTCTTTTTATTATTAATATATAGGCCTAGCCTACCTAGTGTACCCTGCACTTAATCATTCTTACTTTACAAAAAATTGGCTTTCAGTTACCAGTGAGTTTGTCAATCTTAAAATTTATGCCCAATTAAATTCATTCAGGAACTATTAGGTCACCGATAATTTTGACCAAAAAAAAGAGATACAAACTCTAAGTAAAGTGATGAAAACCATTGTTAATATTTAATATTTCTAACTTTATCTGCCTATTTTATTTTTATGCTTTAATTATTACATTTGCCTATGTTAAGGTTTAATTTTAACTACAGTAATCACATCTCACCATAGTAACAACAGTAACAACACAAGAAGAAGTGTTTTGTTTAATGTTTATGAGTAATGATGACTCCTTTGAAGCTTTTAATCTATTATTTAGGACTTGCGTGTTTTTTAAAGCAGGCACTAACTGCGTTGTACGACAGACCCTGTTTGCGCTAAAAGATGCGACGCCGTCTGCTAATTGTCGGTGGCAGTCTTAACGGATCATCATTAAAATACAATTCGGTGTGCAAACGTCGCGTAGCATTCTTCACAGAATCGCGTCAGGCCCAGCTTAACAAGTTGCATAAGCTGTTCCTTACAGGGAGATTCTCTTATAGTACACTGAGGCATTGGGGAGAGTTAACTATTTAGACTTCTGTGGAATAGTTAGTAGAAATATTACAAATTCAGTTGTCATAGCAATTACTACAGGCTACAAATCTGGCTTGTTGTTGACCAATGATGGTTTTTAATCAAATTATTATATTGGGCATTAGCAAACTTTGTTTTTGAAATATCTTTAAAAAACTGATTTATATTTATTATTTATGATTTATTTTGTAATTTTGGGATAAAGATTTAATATTGTTATGATGAAGAGTATCGTATCATGTGATGGTGGGTAGGATTGAAAAAAAAATGTTTTCTTAAATTACCAAGCCAGAAAATAAAATCACAAGTTTCCTAAAGAAGGTTGAAAAATTATTGCTTTTATCCTTCTAACATTATCCTATTCACAATAAAATTCTTGTCAAATATGAAAGACATTAAAATTGCTTGAATGTAACATGGACAAAGATACATGGTAGTTTTAATGTGTAATTTATGCTAAGTTTGCAGTAAGTTGGGAATGTTTTAATTTTATAAATGCTCCTTCGCTAAATTGCTAATTTTTAGAAGCGGTTGGCGCATCGGTTGTGGCTTGGACTCCCAACCTCGAGGTCGGGGGTTCAAAACTCTCGCTGTGCAAATCGCTTGTGTCCTTGGGCAAGGCACTTTATCTACAACGGTTGCCTCTCTCCACCCAGGAGTACAAGTGGGTACCTGGTAGGTTCGAACACAACTGTGCTGATTACTAGCTGCAATATTATGGAATTCTCCCCAGGGAGCTGAGTATGTGTTCCATATGTGTTTGATCCAATGACCGGGGTAGTAATGTGAAGCGCTTAGAGGCATTGTGCATGAAGCGCTATATAAGAGCGACATATTATTATTATTATTAATTGATTTACTGTTATTGGGTAGACCTAATGCAGGGTGATCTCATCATAAGCATACTAAAAGTGTGATACAATTTTCAATGTGAAGAGTATGCCCAAAATCACGATAGTTATAGCTCATGGTAGACATAGTGATGTTCCAGGTGAACTAAACTAATGGGACTGGCTGTATATGCTTGTTTATACCATGTTTATATTAAGGTTCTAGGGGCCAACTGTTCCATTTATTTTTTAGGGATGACATCCTGACAAGTTCATCTACTTTTTGAGGATTAGATACATGTTCTCTCCTAAAATGGAATTAGTTAAATCCTACTAAGTGCTTCATGTATGTTGTTTTTGTGTTATCTTCTTTGAACAGAGAAATACTTTGCATTTAATTGAACAAAACTTGGCAATAGCTCTAAAATAATGTAATCAGTTTATTCGGGTATTGCACTCATAGGTTTAGTTATTAACATAAAAAGAAATGGTGGATGTAAGCACACTCTTAACATATGCCCTATATAAATAATAATAAACCATCAATTAATAACAATAGGCTATAATCAGACTAGAGAGTCAGGTCAGCGTATAGAGTGTATACTTAACAGTTCCATGTTCACACCAGACGTAAGAATTTCATCTAGCTTGAGTCATGCCTGGCTTATTTGTTGGCCCTTGAACATAGCCATAGACAACCAACGTCACTGCTAGGTGGTCAGCAAGGGTAAACCAAACTCCTACTTTTATATATGACATCATTCATTGTGTATAATGAATATTATACCATAGGTATTTATTGTATACATGCAGTATTCTACAGTTCATTACATGTGAAAATAGTGAGCTTTTGATTGCACGACAACGGTAGGACGTAGAACGTAATGACGTCAGTAAAAGTCATCTGCGCATGCGAGAACGTTAAGGTCACCTCGTCGAGTAGATTCTAGAACGCAATCTGGCCAAATCTACATATGCAGAGAAGGTAGGATGCCAGGTAGGACTTTCACGCATGAGTGATTCTGTTCTAGCGTCGCGTCGTTGCACAAATCGAAAGCTCCCTATTCAGGGGCAGATTTAGGGGGGGGGGGGGGCCGGCCCCAGAATGTCTCAAATGTTACGTTCGGGCGTCTAGAACACAAAAATTTCGCGGGGGCATGCCCCCGGACCCCCTACGACAGTGTTGTCTCAATCGGCCCAACTTCCGGCCCCCCTTTGGACATTTCTGGATCCGCCCCTGCTATTAGAAGTTGGTTCTAGGGTCTGATCCATGTTGATACATAGTTAACTGTTACACACTGGGAATAACAATCTCTATTGTGCAGGAACTAAATTGAAAACCTACCAAGTCTCCCATACCTGGCGTGAGACTTGTACATTTTGGGGTTGTCTCGTGCTCTCACTCTTAAAAACCAAATCTAATGCATAAATGTATTGCCCCAATACAGGTGCTACCTGTTACCATTACTAATGTAGTGTAGTCTATCATTACTTATCATTGCTTTTTTAGGAGCCACAATTGTGTTGTTATTACTTAATTTGTGTCATGCTTTCTCTTTCAGGAGTTACAAGATCTTGGTAGAGATCCTCCAGCACAGTGTTCAGCAGGACCAGTCGGGGAAGATAGTGAGTCTTAATAGATATATACTAAAATGATCTTAGTTCATTTGGTAGAGTGTCCCAACGATAATCAGGAGGTCTTGGGTTAAATCCTTATGATAAGGGCAATATGTTTTTCTCATAAATATATCATCACCACCAGTGGTGGTTTCTCCATACCAAAGTTAATATCATGTATCTCCAAAATATTTTCTCAAAATTGTATAATTTGAAAAACAAAATAATAAAAACTAATATAGGTCTCTCTGATTAAAGACCACCTCCAAATAAAGACCAGTTTTCTGTGGTTCCATATTAACAAATGTCTGTTATCTTTATTATTTTAATTAGAGACCAAAGCTGTTAAAAACCATGGAAACTCCAGTCCCAAAAGTAGTAGTTTTCAATTTCAAATAAATAAATATTAATTAATATTAATTTACTAAGTATGTTAATTATCTAATATTAAATTTAGCCACCATCATAGATATGAAATTTAAATTAAATGGTAATATCTTTTGCTCATTATTTTATAATTTTTTTTCATCAGTGTTTCATTGGCAAGCTACAATAATGGGTCCGGTGAGTACTAGGTCAATGACTGTTTGTAACTATATACGTAGCATTAAGTCCTATTCAGGCTATCACATTTTATTTGACAAAAAACATGTGACAGGCCTAAATATGTTCGTGATGACATCACATCATGACCAGATATCATGACGATGTTGAACTTGCCTAAGTCCAATCCAAAATGACATTGAAAATTTGTTTCGACGTAGATAAAATTCGACTTGCAGGTTGTTAAATAATGGAAAACACAACAATTTGGCATGTAAAATACGATCAACATAGAAGCGATTGGCGCATCGGTTGTGGCTTGAACTCCCAACCTCGAGGTCGGGGGTTCGAAATGCTCGCTGTGCAAATCGCTTGTTCTTTGGGCAAGGCACTTTATCTATGGTTGCCTCTCTGCACCCAGGAGTACAAGTGGTTACCTGGTAGGTTCCAACACAACTGCGCTGATTACTAGCTGCAATATTATGGAATACTAATATAATTTAATTTAATAATTTAATTTGGTGTTCAGTATGTTTTTCATATATATGCGTTTGATCCAATGACTGGGGTAGTAATGTGAAGAGCGTAGAGGCTTTGTGCATGAAACGCTACAGTATATGATTGTTATTATTATCTGGGATGTCACCAGCTTTTTGGAGTGCTGGTCGGCGATCATTCCGCGTTTTCCCGGGGGCGGGGGGTCGCCGTCGTATTCGCGGGGGGGGGGGGGGTTGCCGTATTCGTGAAAGCCCTTAAAAACCAAAAGGCCTAAGGCTAGCTGACACAATTTTTTTAGGCTAGGTCCAGGTAGGCCTAGGCCAGAATTTGAGGAATGCAACAAAACAGATGAAGATGAGACTTACTGTAGGCCTAATTAAATTCAATAGTTGACATGCCTTGTTTTAGATTAAAAAATAATAATGAACAAATCCCGGCGACAAAGCGTCGATCCGACTGTACCCAGCCGCATTGTTTGCCGTAATTTCACATGTTTGACGATTACCACGAGTTAAGTTAGCGATGAATAGCAGAGCAGTGCAGTATTTTGTTACAATTAACGTAACCACGGAAACATTTATTGTATTCTTCTTGTCTTTATCTTTCAATTCAGCTTGTCTATTGTGTTTAGGTAAACTAATTATTTTGTATACTGTTGAAATAATAGTGGTGGTCGGGAGCCTGTAAATCCTGGTCGGAAATGTTGAGTGCTGGACGGGCCCGTCCACCGCCCACCAGCGTGGTGACATCCCTGTAGTATTATTAAATTATTCAACTTAATAGGCAAATTTGACTTAGGCAAGTTTAACTGTATGAGCATACAGTTTTGTCAAAGAAAATTAGATAATCTGGACCGAGCTTTATATGTATTAATAAATACTTTTGACATTGATGATTTTGAGTGGATCTGGGCACAAATAAGTTTTTGAATAATTCCACCAAAATTTGAATAAGTAAAAACTCTACAAGGCATTCCATAAAACAAACAACCGTAATCGTATTACTGATCGTGGGCTCAATAATGAGCCTGATCGTGTAGCAGTGGCAAACATGTTTTGGGCATATTCCCATCATCAGTGCGAACATACCACATTTTGTCAATGTTTATATGCATTAGAACACGTGTATGAAAATTGGCATAAAACAATAGTGACTGATGAAGCGAAATAAGTTTACAGTATTATTTATTTCATAATTATCTAAGTAAGCTAAGGAAAGTAGTTTGTAATTATTGATTGAATTCTAATCGAACATTATACTGTAATGTCAGTGTTGAGACTGCAGATATGAAATACAAGAATTGTATAATGAATGAGATCTGACTGTTTACTAAGGCTGTCTAATGTATTTATACTTACTACTTTTGAGAAAATCACAAATAACCATAGCTAACAGAATTAAGTTCATATTTATTTTAATAACTACATATGTCAGCTAAGGAAATTCCTAATTATTAAATTCAAAGTCAAAAGTTACAGTGTTGACACAATGGCTATGCGGATTAGAGATCTACTGTAAATTAAATGCAGAGTTTTTATGAGGTATTTAAGTACCAAAACTATGCTATGCTTGACTAAGAGCAGAGAAAGATGTTATATACATCAGTGTTCTGGGAAATACAAATTATTACAATGAATAATGACTAATAGACATAATGTAGAGTTTTACTGCTGAACATATTTCTAACAATAATGATCATTGATATACTTGGAAATGAAATATCTTTTGATAATTTTGTCATATCATATATCATATAATGATAAAACAAACGGTAAAAACAATTAAAAATATATAGCTGACTGGCCGGATTGCCCAAAAGCAACGCAGAGTTTACTGTCATGGGGCTCTTCTGGCAGCACATACAGTACAAAAATAAAACATAAAACATTGGAGTATAAAAATAGATAACTATAAATTAAACCATAATCTCTTTTAAAAATTTCATTTAAAATGTAAAAGTTACAAAAGCTTTTTATTTTATTGCAGCCCGAGAGTCCTTATCAAGGTGGTGTGTTCTTTTTAACTATACATTTCCCAGCTGACTACCCATTCAAACCACCTAAGGTAAGTAATTTCTCAAACACTCATCAGATTTGGCTTGCATTAATGTCTTTGATACTGTACCGCCGTTCTACTGTAAGTTTCCATGCCCCTGGTAACATTTTCATTGCCCTTCATTTTGTGGTCTAATTTTACACCCTTGTTATTCTGGTCACAATTTCACAGCCCCTTAATAGTGTGGTCCAAATTTCATGTGCCCCATTTATATTTGAATGTATTTTTATATGCAAGGTTTTAAATTTTATCAAGCATTCAATTTCTTCATTTGGAGATAATAAAGTTATTCTGATTCTGGTACTGCAGTATGGTTCCAATTTCAGATGTCTCTGGTATTCTGGTCCCATACACACATGCCCCTGTCTTGAAGTTACAGCAATTTTTTATGTCCCTTTATTCTGCTTCCAGTTCCACAGTGTTTCTTTAGTCTGGTTCTGATTTCAGATGAATGTGATATAACATCAGCTTGTCATATATGAATGTGATATGAAATCATGTTTATATGAATGTGATATGACACCATTTTATCCATATATGAATGTGATATAACATCAGCTTGTCCATATATGAATAAAATACAACATTAGCTTTTCCATTGAATGTGATATGACTATGCTTCTTTTCAAGATAGCTTAGGCTTCTTTTCAAGATAGTACAGTATATGCACTGTACATGAATTTCAAAAAACAAAATAAATTAAAAACAAGCTTGGTTTATGCAGTAGTTTAGGTGATTTAATGTCAGTTAAATACACTCCATGATACAGATTGATGTTACAGAGGCCGTATTTATTGTTTTTTAGTACAAATTCACAAAATTGACAGTACTCGTTTTGGAAAAGAAGCCCCCCTCCCCTTCTTTACTTTGCAAAAGAAGCCTTGAAAAGAAGCCCATCTAAAGTTCGCAAAAAGGGCTTCAGTTCAAGGTTTTACGGTATGACATCATCTTGTCTATATATGAACGTCACAACATCCCCTTGCCCACATATGGGCAATTCAGTTCACACATATTTGTCTTAATTAAAGAAAAATAATAGTGTGAGTAGAGCTTACCGTAAGTGCTTCAATAAGCTCCGCTCTAGAAAAAGTGCCTCACCAAACGTGATTTTTTTTTTCTGTTAAGTGCCACTCCCGAATAAACGCCGTGGCGCTTATTTCAAGAGTACAGTATATATTACCCTGTGTGTAATGAAACACAGAAACAGGGTTTTAAATAAATGTATGCAGTGTTAAAATGAATAAATAACACAATGAAGACACAAACATTTCTTTATAAACGTTTATTTACGATGACGTAGGCCTAGCAGGGACTACAGGAATATGTGAAACAGGTAATATGGGAACGGGCATGGAAGCGCCACGCCAATATTTAGTTGTAAGCGCAGCTCTCGAATAAGTGCCACTGAAGCCTCCAAAAATTTTATAACAGCGTGGCGCATATTCGAGCATTTTAGTCCTGCATGTATACTCTAACAGTATTAATCTTGTTTTTCTAGGTGGCATTTACAACAAAAATCTATCACCCAAATATAAATTCAAATGGTAGTATTTGTCTGGACATCCTGCGGTCTCAGTGGTCACCAGCATTGACCATCTCTAAAGGTCAGTGATATTATCATTAAAATTTATTAGACCTGTCAATTTTCTATGGTAATCATAACATCAGCACTACTAATTTCATTCTGAATCATTCACCTTCTACCAGGTACCAATTTATACTCCTGGATAAAGAGAGGCAAGTGTAGATAAAATGTCTTGCCCAAGGACATCAGTTTGGGGCATTGGTTTCGAACCCCAGACCTTCCAATTGAAAACTCAATACTTTACACGTAGCATCACATTCTTCTACAAGTGTTTTGTTTTTTACCAACTAAATTTCACAGCACTCACGACTAAGTTGGAGTCATTGTTTGTGTTTATTGTTGAAAGAGAATAAAATACAATGTATAACCTGTTTAATTTGTGTGCATCTCCACAGTTTTGCTGTCAATATGTTCCTTACTAAACGACCCAAATCCAGACGACCCACTTGTACCAGATATTGCCCGCGTGTTCAAGACAAACCGGGACAAATACAAGTCTACAGCAAAAGAATGGACTCAAAAGTATGCAACATAAAGGCAGACAAACAAGACATAACGATGGAGATAAAAAAATACAAATATAGAGTACAAGGTCGCTGACATCACAACAGCATGTGACACCCTTTTGTTACTGAGCAACGCTCCCAAGCGTTCAATAGGGCTGAGTACCTCCTCAACTAAACTAGAGTTTACATATCTTTTTCATTGACATAACTTTACAACATTATATTACATAGAATAACTATGCTGAGTTTTTATTAGGCTTGTAATTTAGGTTCTAATACATTCTATTGAAAAAGCTGTGATAATCTGTAGTAGACTGTGGAGGTGCTCAAGATTAACGACCGCTTAGTAAATTAGGTAGTTTCTAAGTAACAAAATGGTGTCACATGACATGGCAACATTATAGTATTCTATACACCTAAAGCGGTTTGCCAAGCTAAGTTTTGAGTGTAAAAATTCACACACAACTTGTATATCATTATTCTCAATTCTGCCTCATTTTGTTTTAAAAGGTGGATATCGATGAGAAGGTGTTAGGAAAATGGCAGGGGAGTGGGGTGGATGTTACTTTGGAGATTTTAAAAAATCACTGACTACATAAAATGTGGTATACTATCCAGAAATAGTAGGTTGAAGTTCTTTGTAACAAGTAGTTGAGTAGTAGATACTTATCATATTCAAACTCGCATGCTCCTCTTCTATTGATTAAAAAAATTATAATCAATATGTGCGCCAATTTTTTTATTTCTAACAAATGTCACATACCGTGTGTTTTTAAATTGTAGATAAACAAGCTCATGTGAGATTTTGATATTCTAACTTAGATTTTCTTGATTAAGTTGCTGACAAAGCATTGCCAGGAAATTTTTAATATTTTTCGCTTTCAGTACTGTTTTTATTTAACTAAATTTCTAAGCAAGTCAATTTTATTTTTACCTTAGTAGAGCCCTGAAATAATTGTGAATCAGTAAAGCTCATATTACGGTTTGGAATCAGGAAACTGGTTTCTAATAATATTGTAAAAGACGAAAATGATTGGGTATATACTTTACTAATTAACTTGTGCTAAAAATTTGAACAAAATAGTAGTACCCAATTCAGCTATTTCACACAGATATAGACATGATTAATATGCTTATAATGTATGCTATATGGTTGCATATACCTGAACATATAGTACCATACTATTCACTTGCTCTTGCTATTCCATATTGATAGGCAACACTGGTGTATACCTGCACAGGCTATTCACACGTCACCGTCCATTCCATCAGGTAGTACTTCATACACCTGCACATCTACATACACCTGTCATTTCAACAGGTAGGACTCATCACCTGCCATATCCACAGGTAACACTTTCTGTATGTGAGGTGGCAAACCTATTCATTCACCAGCACATTGGCATTTCAACTAGTGGTACAGCACTTGTATTCATCTGGTATGTCATTGCAGCAGGCCTTCTCTTATATTTCTGCACATGCCATTTCATAAGGTGGTACTGTTGCACCTGTACACACCTTTTCAGGTACACCTTCCCATGCCATTTCAACAGGTAGCATTTATATATTATACCGGCATACTCCTACACACACCATTTAACTAGGTAGTACTTTTGTATTTGCACACACTCTTTGACATACACCAGTACGTACCTCAACAAAATTTATACCAGTGCAAGATTTTACATGCACAAATTTGTACTCGGAATATTCTCAATCTGAAATAATTAGTAGTTGGTACCAGGGATGCCGAGAAAGGAAGGGGTACACCGATATTCTTGATTGTGTCTGGTTACGGTTCATTAATATGCAAATACTTGTGCCTGGCTAATCCTGCTTGTCTGAACACCCAGCAAAGTTAGGGCGGGCTTAACCTTGAGCCAGGCTCAACTCCAAGTCTAAACGTAGCTTAAGTGGGTTTGGTTGGTTCACAGTTTATGTTATTCTGGAAGATCTGTTTGTGTATTTTTTGTTCTTTTCCTTAGGAGCCTCAATACCTGATTGCAGTGGATATACATGATTAAATGTACAAACCAGGCTTACCCATTGTGCAAGTAAAAATGATACAAAATTGATTTAAAAAAATTACTTTTGGCAAAATTGTTTTTCCCAAGGTTCTAAAATTCTACCTTCATTTTCCCCAGGGTACTCTCTTGGCACCCCTGATGCACATTACATGGGTTTAGGTCCTCTTTTAACTTAATGTTATTGTGAAAGTGTGAATCCCTTAAATAATGGGGGAAAATGCTTTGATTATTTTATGCATTAATTCCAGACATACTTTAAAAGATATGTATTCTTGAAGTGTAATTTGTGTAACAAAAGATGAGAAACAAAATGTTGTTACTTATCTACTGTATGTATCCAGGTAGTTTAGAGTGAAGTGATGTAGGAAAGCTTAAGCATTTTCAATTTTTCTGTGATTTACAGTAATAACATTATTAATAAAATAATTTTAAAGCAGAGATATGTTTCTTTTAGGGTACAATTTCCACTATGTTTTCGCGACTTGAAATAAGTTGGTGTGGATATAACACCACAAACATCACAACTCAGATGAGTTTTTACTGTAGTACTGTACTTGTTAGTTTGTTACAATACTTGTTTATATCCATGGACCCTTAGCGGTTGGTTGTTCTTAATTACTACTGAACAGCGTTAATTGCCCTACATGAGCTGAATTGTAGGATATTTGACCTTTTATCCAAGATGCATATATTAGTACAGTGTACTGTAATTCTCTTTTTAGCTGTTTATATGGATTTAATTCTCCATTTTCTGTGTGTTCAGTTATATACAATAAATGACAGCATACATTGTTCTTCTGTTTTTATTATTTCATTTCACAGTCACCATTTCACATATTCATTAATTAATAATTTATTATAGTTGGAATATTTATTTTGGTTTCAATGTACATTTCGATCAGTTAGCACAATGGCGATGTGTCCATTTGTTTTAGAATGGCACCTGTTAGTACTGAAGTGAAGAAGTGAAATAGGTACAGAATGAAACCTACCTACAGATGTATATTGCAGACCTACCAAGTCTCACACATTCGGGGTGAGACTCGCGCATTTGGGGTCTGTGTCGCGCTAAGGACCAAAATCTCGCATAATGTCTAAAAAATGTGTATACTATTTGTGACCTTTATAGCCCTCTCACTAAACATTCTCCATCTACAGTACTTAAAATATGGTAACATCATTTAGACCAACTAGCTGCACTAACACTGTAGTGTAGATATGTCATCTTATAAAGCGGTGTCGGATAAGGTACAAAGGACGCATACACACTGCCAGCTCATGCCAGTGTCAACAAATTTTGTGTGGAGAGGAGTGGGGCCGGGGAAAGTGCCTCAAGGAGGCTGAATTTTTAAAATTCTCCGTTATTGTAGACTAGAGGATTGTGGTCTCAGCATGTGGAGGACCGAAAAAAAAAGTGGACTATGAAGGCCTCTAATGTTAATCTTCAACTTTAATCTTCATTTTACAAAAATACCACGCAAAGAAGCCCATATGCACGGCTCCTCGTACGCAGAAACAAGATCTCCTTAGAAACCACCTCAGTAAGTAAGGCAAGACTTAAAAAAAGTCTTGTCTAAATGAGATTGTCAGAAACTTTTCAATAATTGTACTTCAAGAATTTTGCAAGGTGGGGAGGGGGGTGCTATAGATATGCCACTGAATATTAATAATGTTTTTATTTTTCAAGTTGATCATTCAATGAAATAATTTCAGTTTAGTGTAACAAACAAATGAACACAATACACAGTAATCATCTTCAGCATATAATTAGGCAATGCCTTCGTGCAACATAAAGGAAACTATATCAAAATAATCAAATGATTGCCTATAAAAACTATTTTTACACACCCAACTAGTTAATAACACAAAGATATTAAACAATATTTAATATAAATTTGTAAGAAGAATGTTTCATTTCATGTATAGTAGCATTAAATTCATTTCATACCTAATACTGTAATTATTAGAACTGTAGTTGTTTTTGTTAATCCTACTGTTTAAAAAGCACCCAAAATTTCAAATAATCCTGTAGCTTACTTCTACGGTGTTTTTTTTTTAATCAGTGTTTAAGGTAGATTTTGCATATTACAGTACTTTGATTTAAATCTGGATTTTTTGAAAACTGAAATCAGAAATTGTCCAACACTAATAAATTACATATTATAATAATGTCCCTGCAGTTAATATAAAGGTTAATTCTTAAGCATTGGGTTGAATAATCTATCCCATATTGAGTTATTTTAAACTGAATTACGAGGATTTCTCCGGCTTCTGGATGATCAGAGGACCAACGTTGTCGCAGCATGCGTCATTGTGCTTGTTGTGTGAGCCATCACAGTACGGGAACTAGAATGAAAACAAGTTCACATTTGAGTGACATAACCAGACAGATTAAGTTAAACACTAAAAGCATGTTTTGTAATTAACAGTAAAGTAACACCTGTATACAGTATTATTATTGAGTCTACAATCTTAAAACCCTACAAATCTGAGGGCTGGGGATCACGTTTTGATGGGTTATTTTGATGTTTTTTAACACTTTCTTTCCACTCCTCAATTCTGATTGATAACCTGGGGTCCCTAAAAATCTGGGCCCCCTGTGAGAGCTCAAAGGTGTAATGCATACCTTTTTGGATCTCCAACATCTACAGAAACATGTCTTATTTCCAAGATCTTCAACATCAAATGAGTGGACAACTTTATCCTTGTCTCCATCAACACAGTTATAATTAACTTTAGGTGGTGGCGGTGGTTCATCTTTCTTTGCCGTCATGGCTGAAACTACCAGATACACTGCCGCAGCAAGTGTTCCAATGATTGGCACTAGACGCAACATATCAGAACCTTTAGAAAAACAATTGTAGATGATGAATAATGAGAGTTGCCATATTAAGTTGTCCTGCAACCCCTGTAAATTACTGGTGTCAGCTTACTGGGAAGAATGGCATTACACTTGTAACAGATACGTACAACTTGCATATTTTATTGCGGGATTCTGAAGTTTCCTAAATACAGTAAAACCCTCCTTATTTGGCTGCAAACTGAAGGTGATAAGTCTTTTTTTTAACATATCCCCTAGTTCAACTTACTGTAATGCTAGAGTGTGTAGTAGCATTGCCCTGTCACCATCACTCACTTTTGCAAAATTTCTATTTCATTTTTTCCATGCATTGCCACGCCCCTTTTTTATGTTTAATAATTAATTAGTGATGCAAAAGCTGGCAAATAAATTGATTAAATCAGCAAGCTTGCATCTGCATAATAATACTAAAATGCATAGTTTAGGTCGAGTCTTGCTCACACAAAAAAAACCAAAAAAACACAGGCAACATTTGCTCGAAGATTACGAGGAGCCTAGACCACTCTAGGTAGGCCAGCTTTTGTGATGCCTAGACTCTGGCCTACTACTCTAGCTAAAAATTGGGTAAGGCCTAGGATAGGTTAGATAAAGTAAAGGGTCCTATCAAGAACCGGAGCTAGGCTAGGTGGCTTCTAAGTAAGATGTTTCCATATTATGTACCTTCCATAGCGATAAATATACGAATGCTGGATTGTTGCCAACTCAATTACGTACACTGACATAGATCGAGTTGGGCTAACGTACAGTTTGGCAGGTAGGTCCTCTCGCGTGTGTCGGATCGTAGAGCAAGAGGCAATCAAAACACGAACACTACGCATGTGCAGTCAATAAATTCACGTGACGAGAGAATCGACAATCCCCGATCTCAATCGATAGCAAAAGTTGCTAGGAAATTGTACCTGTTAGGTCAGCAAATCCTCCTAAAGTATCGGGAATGGGCAGGCTTTGAAGATAATTGGGAAAAGTAACCGTCAGCAGTAGCTTTATAGACTCCATTATCAGCGTTCATAAATATATAAGTACAGTATAATATAATTATAAGTGCAACCAGCACTTTCCATAAAAACAGAACTGGTGGTATATAGGGTACTGAAGGCAAGGTACTGTATATGCTTAGCCTTTGATAAATACAGGTGGCGCTTTATCATGTAGGGAGGGGCTTATATATATAAGCATAATAATATATAAGGAATCAGCTCCCTGATGTTATTTTTACATCCGCAACGAATTATACTATTTTCATCAGATTTTGTGTGTGCAGTGTGTGTGTGTGTGCGTGTGTGTGTGTGTGTTTGTTAGCAGTCTCCCTAAATGCGACAGATTCTCCGAAATGATTTATGACATTGAATGGAAGGATCCTTTTTATTTTGGTGACGATCCCGAGTGGTGGGTGACCATGAAGAAAAACCTCTCACGTCTAGATATAAAAACTGATTCTGGAAGTGTTAATAACCAACAAGGATGAAATTATTAAATTGGTGACGATCCAGATTCGTGGTGGGAGGGAGAGGGGTGGGCATTTAAAATGCGAAAATCTCAGACATAAATATCTCAAAAACTAATCAATGGATCTGAATTAATTTTTCTAGAATTTTTTGTCATGTGAAATGAAATGCAGAAATTATTGCATATTGCAGGCCCGTAAGAAGGTGGTGGGTGCAGAGGGTGCGGACACACCCCCCCCCCCTCCAAATACCAAAAGGGCCACTTTTTAAACCTATTTCACGAAGTCGATTGATCGGCTCCGGTGATTGCATATTGATCCATGATATAATATGAACAATGTTATCTTGATACCACAGACACTGACATATTATAACGTAGGCTTCTTCAGGTTCCCAAAACAACCAAATTAATGAAAATTTAAATAAAATATTCACGAATTATGTGAGTTTGAGAAATCCATGACCCTCAAAATGCTAATTTGTCCGAGCACCTTCGCAGGGAGCTAGGCGGTCGCCCATTTCTAAGGTCCGCTTCGCTCGCAAAACGCACTTCCCCGTCGATAATACTTCCTTAAAGCTGGTTCTCCACTACAGTCGAATTTATTCGCGCAAATCGAAGAAAGCATCGTTAATGCGCATGCACATTTACATCTCGATGGTCAGTTGAGGGGCCCAAATTCGCAAAATAAGGTGCTTTTATGTGATTTTTAACTACTTGACCGTGATTTTTTCGGGGTGGGGGGAAAGGATGGGGGAGTAATTTTTGGTGGAGCGCGCCCCCACCTCCCCCTCCCGCGCACTCCCTAGATACGCCACTACTGCGCCATGGGGCCCCTCTAACCCAACAATTCACTCTATAATTTTCAAAAGGATAGAGGGGCCCGGCGCCCCTCCTACAACGACCCAGAATTTTACTATGGGCATGGAGCAGTGTTTTTTAATGGGGCCATGCGCCCATGTACAAGCCCAAATGAGCCCGGAGAGGCCACAGGGGCTCCCACTTACTACCCAACACTCAGAGATACGCGCTTTTGACCTGAGTACGATTGATTAAAACAATGTATATAATGTCTAATAATAATTCGGATGAAAAAGCCTACAACAATGTTCTATTTTCAAGCCCGAAGAAAAAGTGGCACAAAAGTCGCAGGCCTACAATTATTGTGGGGAAAGTAAATTCTTTCCGACTCTGACGTTTTAAAATGTTAATAGTCTATTTTTAAAATGTTGGAATGGTACCTTGGATATAACCAGAGAAATACTCTGGTAGGTGGCCATGCGACATGCATGATAAGCACCAAGCGGCGAGGGAGGGAGCAGTGGTGTTTTTTTAGCAATGCTTTAGACCATAGACACTTGGATGGAACAGTGAATTGTATTGCAACCATATGGTTACAGACAACATGTTTATGGTAGTAACATTATTGTATGTACATAAATTATCAGTCATCAAAAGTAGGATACATAGGCCTATAGTGCTCATTTAAATTAAATGAAGAAGAGTACATTAAGGGTGGAAATGGTCATTGGTGCAATGATTAAAGACCAAAAAATAAATAAAACTGTGCCTATGTTTCTTTCCTACAGTGCGTATCTGCATTATAAAAGGTGTCAAAATGCACAGAACAATAATTGTCATTTACGACCTGTACATTCAAGGAAATATCACCCTTTTATCGCCCACCACAATTAGGAAATCTGTATTTATATGGATAAACTTATGAAAATACATCTGTTAGTGTTGAAGTTAATTTTTTTAAATATTACAGAGTATTAATTGTTAAAATTTAAAAAAAAAATGTTTTTTTTTTTTTTTTTTTAAAAAAAATTGGGTTTCAAAAAAATGATGGTCTTGTATTTGAGGTCATTTTAATCTATAATTATTCACTGGAATTCTCACGTCGAACCAACACGATTCAACTTTTCGCCAATGCCAATCACTAAACCGTTAGGTAGGCTATGTGGTGGGATATCTTCATTTAATTAAATTTCTTTAAATATTCGTAAAGGATATACTGTATAAGTGTTCACTATTAGAAATATAACTCTAAAATTATCAATAAATATTTTTACCCAACAAAATCAACACCGTTTCATGGGTAAAACAGTAAATTATTATTAATAGCACGTGACTCTCCTAAAACATCCGCCATGTTCGGAATTTAGCGGTCGGTTGTTTTGTGATCGGAAAATTACGTTTAGCGATAGTGAAAAAAGAAGAGAAGTGTGTACTTGTGTGAGGAAGAGGATCTTTGTGAATGCGAAGAAAATCATAGCATTACAGATTTATTTAACACATATATAACAATGGCTTTAAAAAGGATAAAAAAGGTGATGTATAGATGTTGATCTTAACTTTGTGAATTATATTTTGAAGACTTTATTTATGTCGTATTGCGTACATTTAATCTACAGTCAGTTTAGGTACCCGTTTTAAAGACAATTCTCTGTCTGAATTTTTAGTGTAGTGCTGCTAGGCTGGGCCTAGCCAAGGTGTAGGGGCCTAGCTACGCTTTTCCTTACAAATATATTTGTTATGGACTGTGTCTAGGAAGTTGCGGAGAATTTGGGTTTAAAATTCTTAAGATTTGTATATGATTTGATGCTGTATGATCGAAAAATTGTAATTTAAGATAAGCCTACACTGAGTGTAGGGCCTGGCCGGTGTGGTTGGGATTCGTGTGGTTGCCATCCTCATTGACGTAGTTTGCCATCATGTTTTAGGAAGACAGGGAAGTTGATTGAAATAATCCTGACATTGCAGTTTACAGTAAAGAGCCGCTTCCGAGTTAGTTTTGTAATCGTCATTTATCTTTTGTTTTTGTCTTAGGTAATTGAAAATTCAAGAAACTGGGGTCGAAATACTAAATAGGCCTAGGTCTATGCTAGGCCTAGGCTAGAGAGTTTATTATGAATTGATGAATGATGTTAATTTTGAATGAAAGGTAGCAGGTCAATTCGGCCCAAAACAAAATAGGCCCAAACCAAATCAGACCAAAACCAATTCGGCCCCAAACCAAAAAACCAGCTCGGCCCAGAAGAAAACTACCTAAATGATACAGAATTACCCAGATGAATAGCGATCGCTATTACCCATTACCCAAAAGACAATTATTATTATTATTTGAGTAAGACTATGATTATTAATATTATTTATAGGTTTAATATTATTTTTTAGTATAACTATTCTTATTATTCATTTTTATATTATCTGAATTATATATTTTATAATTATATCATTATATTTATTGTTATTATTTTAGTATTATTATAATAATTAATATCATATATAGGCCTAATATTATTTTTAATTAGGCCTATTACTATTCTTATTACTTATTTTTAATATTATCCGAATTCTTACTAGTCCCACTAATTATTTTTTACAAGAATCTTAACATACCTTTATAAAATAGTATATATTTGTATGAATTTAAAGCAAAACAAAATGCACGGATTTTTTCAGGTACATGCAATTCAAACTGGATACAAAATTTTTATTTTGTTTTTTTTTCAATTTACTTTTATTTTAGGCTGGCTGCCCCTGCAGGGGTTTTTTTTTTGTTTTTGTTTTTTTTGTTTTTGTTTTTGTTTTTTTTAATTTTCAATAAATCTAACACTTTAGAATTAAACAGGTGCACTACTGTTATTTCTGGTAAATATTTTTTTGGTAAACTGTTTATTTCAGATTGGCAACACCCAATACCTGTATGTTTTTCGATGAACGTAGCACCTTGCAAAAACTGACAATAAAAGTCAACTATTCATTTCAAAAACACAGGGACCACCCAACTATTTCAACCTGCCATCTTGAATAAATCAATATCGTATATAGATATAGAGTTGTCATCTGGGCCGAGTTGGTTTTGTGCCGAGTTGGTTTTGGTCCGAGTTGGTTTTGGTCCGAGTTGGTTTGGGTCCAAGTTGGTTTTCGGCCTAAGTGTCATCTGGAATCGATTTGGTTTTGTTCCAAGTTGGTTTGGGCCGAAGTGACCAGCATTAGCATGAAATGTAGGACCATGCAGGCAGTAAGCCTAGGCTAGGCCTTGGTAGGCTAGACCTCGCCTTACTAAATACTACCCTTTCTTAGGTCTACCGTGACCTGACCTAAGGGCATAGTGAGGGGCGGATCTAGGTTCACATTTAAGGGGGGGGGGGGGGTCAGACTTTTTTTCAAAAAAATGCAAAAAAAAAAGTGATCCTCCCCCAGGAAAATTTTGACTCTTAGATGGTGGGAAATGAGCTTTCCAGACTTCAGAGGTGTCTCTTTTAATGACTTTTAAGTTCTTCAAAATTCAAAGTTTTCCCCCTCTTGAAAACAGTCAGGTAAACTTTCTCATTCTTATTACAGTAAATAGGCATATTTATGTGTGTATACGTACATAAAAAAAAATTAAGTTGCTTACGTATTCTTTTTTCCACTAATGGATAACCCCAAAGAGGAAGGGGGGTCCGGAAAATTTTGATCACTGGATGGCAGGGAATGAGCTTTTCCGTCTTCTGAGGTGTCTTTTAATGACTTTTCTTTAAAGTTTTCTTCCACTTGAAAACGGTCAGGTAAACTTCTCATTCTTATTACTGTAAATACTAGTAGCCTACTATGTGTGTATGTACAGTACATAACAAAAATTGAGTTGCTGCATACATATTCTTTTTTCAATAAATCAATGAACCCCAAATAAAACGGGGGTCGGGTGTCCTCCCCGGGAAAATTTTGGTTCTTAGATGGCGAGAAATGAGTTTTCCCGACTTCTGAAGTGTCTTTTAATCAAAATTCAAGGTTTTCCCCTTTTGTAAACGGTCAGGTAATTTTTTTTTTCATTCTTATTACAATAGGCCTATGTGTGTACCGGTACACAGAGAATGTTTTTTTTTCCCAAGGAGGGATCAGGACCCCCCTGAACCCTCCCCCAAATCTCCCTTCAAATCTGCCAATGCTAGTTAGGACAAGCCTTTCTTAATTGGTAGGGCTGATGTAGCCTACTGTAGTTTAGGCTATTGTGAAGGTAACTGTTAACTTTTAGATGAACTTTTATCTATGCCTTTTTTGATAGTCCTCTGTTGTTTCATTACTTAGGCAAATTAACTAAATGATATAATAGTATTTTGTTTCTTACTAATGCATGGTTTTTCTGGTTTCTCTTAGTAATAGTAAATACATTGGTCTTGCTTAAAGAACAACATAATTTCAATCTGCAGTCAATCAAGGAGGCTACTATTATATATCTAACATCAGCTCTAAGTTTGAGCTGATAAAACTCACAAAATGCCCTTACTGTATGTTACTTTTCTTGTTTCCCTCATCATTCATGCTAGGCCAGCATTTTTTTTTTAAACTGCTCAGATTCCTATCTCTCAACATGATTTTTGTAAAACTCTGCCAAGGCAATACTCAATTATTTCTGTTTTGTTTCGTCATTTGAGATACAGGGTCAATAGAAATAAAGAATTATCAGCTTTCCTTCAGATTGTCCATCCGTGTATTGTGGGGACCTACAGTACGGTATGGTAGTACTACTCAGGGGCGGATCCTGAGATGTCCAAAAGGGGGGCCGAAAGTTGGGCCGATCGAGACAACACTATCGTAGGGGTTCCGGGGGAATGCCCCCCGAAATCCCCTTCCCCAAATCCGTCCCTGCTACTGCCGATGTAACCTTAAGTAGATTTGCAATCACTTTACATCTGGTAGGAAATGGTAGATCTGATTTCCGATGATTTTAGTGTACTGATTGCTATTTACCTTTTTTAATAGTAGGCCTATGGTTACTTAAATATTGTCCATGAATTCAAATTTCAATCTAAAGTCTTGTTCTGTTTTTTATCAATGCCTTGAACTTTACTCAAGTAGGGTTGTAGCTGTAGAAATCTGAAGGTGGGTGACATTTGAAGGGTGGTGATAATGTTAGTACACTCTAAATAATAAGAGTGTATTTTAAGGATGGAAAAGTACTGTAGGTTAATAAGGGTGGATGGAGGGCCATGAAATTAGCTTTACACTGGGTGGAAAACTTTAAAGCTGGGTGGCCCCGCATACCATAACTACATCACTGCTCTAGAAAATCTGAATTTTAGAAGTTGAAGCAAGCAAAGTTTCTCTTTATTCTATAGTACCACATGTTGCTGGGGTGTGTCTAGATTGTATTCGTTTTTCCAGCATTTAAGCTGATTTACTGACTGACCCTATTTTACAGAAAGATTATACTGTCTGAATTAATTTTCTAGAATTTTTGTTGTTTTTAGAGTAGTTGTGAGCTGGTTCATATTTCAAGATGCAAATAACAATTTTACATTACTAAGCAAATCCGTCTTTCTTTGTTTCGTGTATGAAAAAGAAAGCTGACTTCCTGGTTTTGTCATATTGTTGGGACTTTCATATTAACCCATTACTGTACTTTACAAGTTAGTTTCATACAAAAACACATTATAATTATCGTCATAACATCAAGGTTTTTGACAAGTATCATCGTATCAAATAAGCCAACTACTAGTTTGATTTGTGCATGCCTATATCAAGGTCAATTTGCATAAACAAACATTACAGGCAACATAGGTTTATGTAAATTAACCTTTGAAACAGCCAAATGAAGTTCAACTACGAATTGGCTTATAGAGTGATAAAAAATTACAGGGTACAGGGTACTAATTTACCTTTAATTTATATTTTATAAAATTTAGCAAATTTAGGCATTTTATAATTCTCATTGATGACACTATGTCTTATAGCGATTTTGTTTTAAGCCTATTAGACTTCAATGAAAACCTACCACTTAATACCCCTAATAAAATTAACTTTAGGTTGGCCTGTGAGATATAACACTTCAAACAAAATACTGATGGAAGGTGTCAGGTAGCAAGGTCAAAATAAACCATAACGGCAATGACCAAAACGGCAATAACCAAAACGGCAGTAAACCAAACCGGCAATGACAAGTACCAAAACGGCAGCAGACCAAAACAGCAATGACGAGTACCAAAACAGCAATAGGCATAGGCCAAAACGGCAAAGGAGCAAAATCAATTTGAAGAGCAAGCGACGCCAGTCTTTGCCTACCATTGGCAGTTCTCTGTAGTTCTATTCTCATTTGTATTGTTTGTCTTGTCATGTTTTTTAGGGCATCTTCATTCTTCTCTGGTGCAGTCATGGCACCAATGGCAGGGAAAAGCTCAGGCACCTTAAGCTCTACTCAAGCCCCTGTCATGTAGGCCTTTTATTTTTACTCTTCCTGCAATTTCATGTTTAATTTGCTTATTTGTATAATTACTGTACCTTAATTAGGTTATTAATATATAATTAAAAGTCTGGATGAGAAATAAAATTTCTGGTAACGGTCAAGTAAAATTGTAGATAATACATTTTCTATATTTTGCATGTACCTTTAAATTGGCTGGTAAATATATGTTTGTGCAATGGTAAAAATAACAATGATCACCATGATGGAGAGATATTTTTAATAGATGATAATGGACCAATATGAGGAAATGAATAACCTTGATTAGATGATCAATAAGGCCTATTGTAGTACATGCAGTGATGAACAGATAGCATACGCAATGCCTCTGAAGTGAATCAGATGAGTCATTTATAGATCATCAATTGAGATAGCCTAGACTTGGTACTGTCTGTAGGGCATGTGTATAGATGGTAAATCATGCTTACAAGTACTGTTGTACTACTGCAAGGCTTGAAAGACTTCTAAATTCTTTACTTCTAGAAATTTCTAATAAAATACTACTGTAGCTCTGATAGAAATATGCCACATTGTGATTTTCAAAGGAGAATGTGGTAAATAGGAGTCTTGAGAGGTGACCCTTTACATGTAAGGTTTAGGCCTACAACATTTTACTTGGAAAGGATAATCAAGTCATATCAAATATTTTCATGGTGTTGCAATATTAGTAACTAACACACATCATAACTACTAGTAATTATAGACACAGTATCTGTGTTTTCATGTACAGGTATCTTCTCCATATAAAGTGCTGTAATCAGCTGTGGTCGTAGGATTTTGTGGGCTAAGCTGTCCGACTAAATGCCCAGCATTGGCTCCAACCAAATCCTGTTTGAATTCCAGGGTATAATGGCACCTCGACTAACTGGGCAATGAGGTTGAATTTAAGTTGATCTAATAGGTATTAGAATGTATTATGCCTGAAGAATATTTTTTGAGAAACAATCTTTTTTTTTGTTCTGACATTGTAGGTAATTGGGAGCTAGAAGCTTACTGTAAGCTCCCCTTCCCCCTCCCCGTTGGTGTCGCCACTGGCTGTGATATAGTTTCGTTGTCATACAGTATGTGTTACTGATAGTACTAGTAAAGTATGCGATAGATGTATTTCAGTCTTCAATATTGAGAATTAATATACAATGGCATTTTACTATTTTAATTTAATTCATGCAGAAACCTAGGAATACTCCTCAGGGAGCGAAGGAGGTTGCACGTTGTGTATGACTGATCCCGTATCCAATGACCAGGGGAAAACGCCTTGAGCATTTTTCTGGATCGCTGTATAAATCCTATCAAATGATAGTTGTAAAGGTTTAATATGTAGTGTTACTTTTTAAACAACCAAAAATTCAAACACATTATGATGAAATGAATTACAAGGTTCAGTACAGGTACTCAAAAACTGATAAAGTAATTAATTTTATAGTGTTTTTTTTTTTTTTTTGCTAATAATAGTTATTGAAAACATAGATATTGCTGGCGGTTTCCTGAATTCTTGTAAAGCCAGCAAACATCAATAAATTTGTTAGTAAAAAAGTGCTTTATTATTAAAACACGTCATTGATGCATAATTTATTTTCCATTGAACTTACATACCATTTGTTATTAACAATTGTCATTGCTTTTAATAGTGCAAAGTGTTTCCTTGTATAGTTTGTCATGTAGGCCTAACTGGATGATTAATTCCTAATATTTGCTTTTTTACTCACCAAATAATTATTTCCTAGGTTTTTGAATGGTGATATATGTGATAAATAACCTCCAGCTTCAAAGTTTATTCACCACCGGGGCTTAAATTTGAGGCTGAAAACATCAAATGTGAATATAATGTAATAAGAAAATTACATTACTTAAGTGGTTTGGTGAAGGGATCTCTCTGATGATGATGATGATGGAATTATCAGTAATATTTCGATAACTTTAAAGTAGGCCTAGACAGTGGCAGTGGAGAAAGAGGTAGCCTGCTGTACCTGGAAAACCCACCTTACATAAAGATTATTATAAACTGAAAATATAAATGTATATATAAAAAGAGTTTAAATAAAGAGATCTGGCCTTTATAAAAGTTGAAACTAGACCATGGATTGTAAAGTAGGCAGTGCAGTTCTGTGCCCCCTCAAATCCACTAACCCATCTACATGATATTTGCTGTATCCCAATCAACTATCTTTGTTTTTTTTTGGTTTTTTTTTGTAGGAATTACAAGATCTTGGAAGAGATCCCCCTGCACAATGTTCAGCTGGTCCAGTTGGTGATGATTGTAAGTATTAAACTTTAAAAAAATAATGCTTTGTATTTATAATATCAAAATCGGTGTAGGCAGGGTATTACATTGTTATTACACACATCAATAATAATTCTGGTATCGGTTATACGGTACAGTATGAACAAGGAAGTGTCAGTAGTGTTTAGAACATTTTAGGTGAGAACAAGATAGAAATTCAGGCTCCAAATCAATGTACTGTAGTAAATAGCAATATTGAAAAGGTAAAGATGTATGACCTCATCAGCTAAAAATAGTCATTATGTTAATTTTCATTTTCTAAAAATTGAAAAACCTGCCTGTGGCTGTTAAGGTTCTGATTATATAATATTATATCATAAATATGACATGTGGGACCACATCACATTAACATATTATTATTTAACGAGGCTAACATTGCATAATGTTCTTGTTTATTGACAGAATAACAATACTGGTATTTCTTTCTATGGCAACCATGTATTGTTTAAACTACTACCAAACAGTTACATTACATTAGCGCTTTCTACGTAACCATACCAAATTTTTGTTACACCACTGTTATTTGTTGTCTGTAGGCCTATATTTTTATAAAACAACTTAATTTTTTTTTTTTCAAATTTTGTATTTTTTAAGTTGTAATGTTGAACCATTACACAGTAGTGAAATTCAATGGGCCTTTTCGCTAGTTCCTGTCCCATGTATGTTGTTGCTAATGTTGGGTGAACACTGCAGTGGATTTTAGGCTGTACGTCTGTTAAGAACTGTTACATGAATTAGAAACTCAAAATGACACATTGTAATATCTCTCTTCAAACTGAAAAATTTAAATGCATTAATTACCAATTTTAACTTATGACTAATTTCAAAAATTAATGTCATTGTGTTCCTATTTTTTTTTGTGAGTCTAAAATAATTGATGTAGACACTTTTTTTTTGTTCCTGTAGACTCTCGCTGTCCATTTATTTATTGTCAGTTTTAATATTTAATGTTGCATATAACCTCAGAACTGTTTGTTAGTTTTCTGTATACAGACATAATTCATGTTATGTGATCTTAGAATGTGTTGAACTTACAAGAAGCACTGAAAGTAAAAATGAAAGCATGCAATAATTAATTTAAAAATTCTCAAGTTGACAACATTAGTTTGTGAATTTATCGATACATTTTGTACCATAGTAAAGCTGCATTTACGCTAAACATGATTATGACATGACAACGACAAAATACAGACGCACACAGTGTTGCAGAATAAAAACTAGGTGATGATATGTTGTTGTCGTGTCATTATTATGTCTAATGTAAAACTAGCTTTAGCAGGAAGTGGGGAGGGTGGGGTTATGGTGGTTGTAGGCAATATTCAATATTTAGTTCTATAGTATATATAAAAATAAGTTTATTCTTTTTTTCACTGTAAAACCTGACTTAACAGAAAATTAAAAAGTTGCTTTTAGCTAGGCTAATTAAATATTCAACCTCAATAATACACATTAAAACTTGATTGGAATACAAAATGTTTTCTCTAAATGGAATTGTTGAATTCCATCAGTGCAGACAACTCGTCACTCAATGTTATGAATTGGTCCAGTAAGGTTTAGTCAGTTGACTTGTAGTACATTAACATATATGTCATAGGTCACTTGTTTACTGGTAATTGACCGATTTCTCAAGAATGAAAAAGCATGGGTTTACTTAAATCCAAATCACATAATTCGCTCTGTGTTTATAGATAGTGTAATCTAAAATGAGCAATTTACTTTTTGTATTTACAATTCATTACACCTCATAAAGCATACAACATTGAACCCCTAATAAAGTTGGACACATGGGACCAAAAAAGTATCCCCTTTAATAGGGGTGTCCCCTGAAAATGGCCATAGTTTTAAAATGCTAAAAAAGTGTCCTTAGTAGGGGTTTGCCCTTAGGTATCCTGAAGGGGAGTACTGTACGTTAGTAGTTAGATTACATTATGTCCTGATAACTAAAAATCTTTGGTTTTTTTTTCTCTGTAGTGTTTCACTGGCAAGCTACAATAATGGGTCCGGTAAGTGCTACAGTATTATATGACAATGTCCCTTTGTCTTTGACCTCTATAGGAACTATCATGAAGGTCATAGTGATGTCCTAAGGTCAGGGTCATTACTGATGGCAAATCCTTGTCATGGTTGCTACTAGCTGTCAGCCATCATCATTCATTGAATTCAATCTACTTGAGTTGTTTACTAATTTCGTAATCCAGTAGCATCCTTTTTGAATCAACAATTTATTATTTTACGGCTTAGGAAACAAACCACTCTCTAAGGTTCTGTTCAGACTAACACATTTTCTTCGATAAAAAACTGTTATATATGGTCATGATGTAATTTTATCATGACCATATTTAGTTAGTTACTGCATACCATTATTTTAACAAGCACTACTTTACTTGTCTAATCATGTAAATTAATAGCTAAGGCAATTGAAATATTTAGGTATGTCACATGTTTTTATTTGGACAGGGCTGAAACCCTCATAGTAATAGCATCAAGGGTCCTGAATAATAGTTTTATATATTGATAATTATATAAAATGGTTGCCCATACAGTATAGCAAGTGAAAACTAATCCTTCTCTTTGATGTTTTTATGGCAGCCTGATAGTCCATTTTCAGGAGGTGTGTTCTTTCTAACCATACATTTTCCAACGGATTACCCATTTAAACCTCCAAAGGTAAGAAACTTTATTTTCATAAAATTTTAGCCCTACAAACTCTGTATTTTTTTCAAAGATAGATGCTATCTATGTTGAGAAATGAATGGATAAATTGTAGATGGATAGAGAAGTGATTAAGGATGAATGAATGAATAGATAAATAAATTTATAATGGTAATAATATGTCAGTCTTATATAGTGCTTCATGCATAAAGCCTCTAAGCACTTCACATTACTACCCCAGTCATTGGAGCAAACACGTATGGAACACATACTCAGTTCCCTGGGGAGAATTCCATTATATTACAGCTAGTAATCAGCGCAGTTGTGTTGAAACCTACCAGGTACCAACTTGTACTCCTGGGTAGACAGAGGCAAATGTAGGTAAAGTATCTTGTCTAAGGACACAAGCAGTTGATAACTCCTGATCCCGTGATCAGAAGTCCAACACCTTATACGCTGCACCACACACCCCCAACAACTTAATTAATTTATGGATAAATTAATGGATATAAATGAGTGGATGTATGGATGAATATATGAATGGATGGATGTATGTATAAATGAATTTATTAATAAATGAGTTGGTGGGTAGGTATTTAATTTACAAATAGATAGTCAGTATAGGCAAATGGATAGATAAACTAATGAATGAAGGAATTAATAAATATATAAAAAAATATGTGAATTTTCTTTTGCATTTCAGGTGGCATTTACAACAAAAATCTATCATCCGAATATAAACAGCAATGGCAGCATTTGTCTGGACATTCTAAGATCACAGTGGTCACCTGCATTGACCATATCAAAAGGTCAGTATGTTATGTGTATTTATAATTTGCAATAATTAAAAGCTTCCTATAAAGTTTCAGGGTAGGACCACCTGAAGCCTGGTTTCCATGATATCGCTACATTCTTTCACTGACTTCTTTTGGTGATGCTGATTGGTCAGTTGAATCGGGCAGCCTTCCAAATTGCGTTAGGGGACAGATATGCAGTTCAATGATTGCAGTGAAAACGCTGTAGCAATTTTATATAAACTAGGCTTAACTAAGATTGGAAATTTGAAATTAAAAAAAAAATAGAATACTTATAGTTAGTGGCTTAACTAGGAGTCTTAAAATGGAGGGGGATGGGTGGGGGTGGGCTGATAGGTGACTTTTAACTACTTGAGCATGATTTTTTTGGGGTGACCGGGGAGGTGCTAGTATTTTTTGGGGCATGCACCCATGAACCCCTAGATAAGCCACTGCTTATTGTCTACCAAGTTTAAGCATAATTAAAGGTATAACTTCAATGCTTATAAAAATATGTTAAAAGATTAATTTAATAATTAACCCTAAATTTAATAATTCATTAAATTAATTGCTCATTTACAAGTAACAAATACGTTGATGTAAATCAATTTTCAATTGAAAGCTTTGTATGTGTTATAATGTCAAAAATGTGGTTGAATTTACTATGTTTATTTACTTGTTTGCAGTCCTCTTATCAATCAGCTCCTTACTAGATGACCCAAATCCAGATGATCCGCTTGTTCCAGAGATTGCTCGCCTCTTCAAGTCGGACCTTTCTAAGTACAAAAGGACAGCTAAGGAATGGACACAAAAATTCGCAAATTAAGGACAGGCACCTTCTCCCCCGCTTAAACATACATGTAACATGCCTTCTTCCCAACATGGTTTTTTTTAACCGTATAACAACTAACATCAAATTTCATACATTCTCCGTACTCAACTTCAACCCACTGTGAATCCAGGGACTGGTTATTTTTGTTAGGAAATGGAAATTTTGCAAACATTGTGTTGTAGATGACAACAAGATAATGATTAACTAACACTGGACCATGGTTACGTAAGAGTAATATGCAAATTTGTTAGATGTGTTTTTGTTATTAAGCCCTGTTCACTTTTGCATGTCCTGGAACATATTTGGTGTAGTGTCTGCCCATCTCTGCAAAATTGTAATAACCAACAGGCTATTAAATTACATTGTTCTAATAAAGATAACATCACATAAACTCTAAATATTTAATAGTTGACTGTTAATATCTGTGGGAAACAACAAAGGTATTACGTCAAATGATAAAACACGACAATCATTAGCTGATACCAGCACAATATGGATATATATATATATACACTATTAGGACCATTTGGTAAAGTATTAATGAACGGTGAACCACAGATTTAAAACATACACAGAGATCAGTTAAAGATACATCCAAAGCTGTTGGATAAGGATTAGCACCAGGGTCTAGGCACAGGCGAGGGCTGAAGCAACAGTGAACTGATTTATTGTGCATATTTTCCCCCTCAAAATCAGTGTTACCTTAGCTTTTGTATCCTAAGTTGACCATGGTTTTAAGATATGTTGGTTATACCTAGGTTTTATTTCTCAACACAGAAATTTACATTAGTTAGTCGAAGGCTAATAAACAGTCAAACAAAAAAAATAAGAATGAAGACGACTAGAAAAAACAAACCCATGCAACTATTATTGTCTGTGAAATTTACTTTTGTATGAAGTAATTAATTGACTACTTTGAAATGTATATTAAACTTGTGGTAAGATAATACACTCCCTCTTATCTATTTACAAGTCAATTTATAAAATTCCCCTATTGTTGTAAACTTTAAAAAAACAAATGCCAATTAAAAAAATTTTGTAGTGTCTCTAGCTGTATATTATTATCTCATAACACATGTATGGTTTAATACATTTATCATAACTTCAGCTTTACCATTTCTGTGTATTTAGTAGGTTGTATAGCATATCCAAATCGAACATGTAAAATGTAAAGGTATCGTTTCCAGAATAATAGATCGCTTAAAAAATACCACTTGAACCAAATTTAAAATACTTAATAATCCTAAAGTTATTTCTTCCTCTCTTACCTATATAATTGTCATTTGCATGTTAATAAGTTTTTATATGAAGTTCTGATTTTACAAATGTTTTGGGTTGTCGAAAAATAACTATTAAGTTGCTCTTGAACGTTGTACAGTAGGAGATACTGATGATGGTTTAGTGCGAGTACCATGTAATTAAAAGCAATATGGAGTTGAAAAGATTTAGTTGGCAACCGAATATTGGGGAAGAAGGTTCGCATTTGCACGTACTGTATTTATTCTATCAATGTGGAGTAGTTGAATTAACTTGTGTTTCTCCCTGACCAATTAAAATACAATAAGTTTGATCATGGTCTAAAGGAACCATAAAATTTTGGGAGGGAAATATTTTGATCAGTTGGAATGATAGAATGTTTTGTAGTCAACAATTCCTGAGCTCATTTACTTAAACAAAATCACCAACTAGATTTGTGCAGGTTTTGCTAGCTTTCAATGTAGACCAGGTATATCTTGAAGATTTACTCGCAAAGTGTCTACAGCTCATTACTCTTAATATATCCATTAATTACACACTATTTTGTTTGATAATGAAATCTGAAGGTTATGTAACTAACAGTGTATCAAAATCTAAATTGTAGATGTATCTTCATTTACTATTATAGTAATGCTGTAAAACTCTATGCACTCTATCAAATTTTGTGTTAAATAACTTTAAATTGCACACAAATGGGTATATGACATCATGTCCATAAATGGATGTGATATGATATCATGTCCATGTATGGACAATTCACATAAACTTGTCTCTTAAAACGTGATAATAGCAGACTCCGCATTTGGCTGGCTATTTAAACTACGAGAGTAGCTCTGACAATTAGATATATTTCTTTTTGAAACATGGTGTATAAAATTGGTTCATATCTTTCTACTTACTCAACCCTATTGTAAAATCTCTGCAGTCTGAAAATAAATTAAATAAACAAGTGTGTACATCGGACTTAACAAGCGTTTTATGTTCAGTGCTTTTGATGAAGTGGAAGTTTGTTTTGATGCCTCAATTGGGATGGAGGGATATGCAGTGGTGTGATCAGCATTTCCTTGTTTCCCAGAAAGAAGGGCCATCCTTTAATACCAACCATGTTAGGCTTGGGCGATAACAAGTTAATTTGTCACCTCTAGATGCCCGGAAAAAGCACTATAATGGCCAGTTTTCTCCAGCTTAAAAATTTATTTTAATTTACTGCGTCCCTTGAGGATATGACGCTTCCCCAGCTGTAGATGGTATAAATGGTAGCGTGTGAATGTATGTGTGCGTATACAGTATATATGTATGCAGTATATATATTATGATGGTGGTGCTGTGTTGGAAAATGTACATACAGTAAATAATGAGTCAAATGGTACCAGATATGTGCCACAAAATTTAAAATTTATTTTTGTATGTACAGTATGTGCACATATATTTGGATATATGAGATTGTGTGTTGTTCTGGAGTGGAGGAATATGATACTTGCCCAATGGGTAGAGTATGTGTGTGTTTGTGTATATAATTTCTGATGTGGGGTATAATTATTGGACACAAGTATTGGAAATTTTTGAAACCTTTTGGCAAGTAGTTCCTTCAACATGAGTGATGCTGTTCTGATTTCAATGTCGCTACTCTTCACTATGCCATCACGGTTTACAGAGTAGCTGCTTCAAGTTTCACACTTAAAGGCGATCATCAGACGTGGAGAAAATTACTTTAATTATATTATATATATATATATATTTTTTTTAAATTTATTTACAGGACTACATTCGTTGAGAGCTATGCTACACG